ACCAATCACAAAAAAGGTTGAATACATCAACTGTCAAAACATCAACCATTATAAACATTGGTAACATTCAAAAGGTTGAATACATCAACCATTCAAAAATCAAATCAGACTTTCTACATCCATTGCAGCTCTATATTCAGTTGGGTGGTGCTGATGGATTAAATTGAGATTGGCTTGATTGGGTGACTTTAGTTGTTGGTGGACTGAGATTGACACCAGCTATTGATCTGGGTGGAATGAATGCTCCAACTTGAGTGCTTAGTATTCCTTCGAATCTAAAAGTGATAAAAAAAATCAATTTAGTACTCTGTTTAGTAACAATGAAATGATAATAAAGTGATAAAAAACATAATGGTAATTTTTTCCTGATTGCTCTAGCCTATAACAATGGCTTGCATTCAGTTGTTGAATCTGCTACACTTGTTGAACTTGGGATATTGAGTGTTGAGGCAGTTGCTGAAGTTGCTGCATTTGTTGAACATGTTGCTATTGCAGTTGCTGAATCTGCTACAATCTTCTTCTTCTTTTGTTTTTGCACTATTTCATGTGTGCAACTTCTACGATTGTGGCCAACTTTCCCACATTTAATGCAGCTCATCACAACTTTCCCTCGTTTCCCTCGTTTCCTCCTTTCATCTGCCTCCCTTCTCCTCTGTTTTTTGGGTCTGCCAAGCTGAATAGTTAATCTAGGTGGATTCAAAGGCCTTTTTCCAAAACTTGGCCACAAGTTAGGTCCATTAATGGGATTGATCAGGTGCTTATACAAATTCATATAGGATTCTTTTGAGTAGCATTCATGCACATAATTTTTAGGCTTGTCTCCCTGGTGCAAAATAGCAGAAACTGCATGTGCACATGATATTCCACATAATTTCCATTTTCTACATGCACGTGTTCTCTCCCTCAAGTCAACAACAAATTGAACATATGACCTTTTAACTTGGAATTGTGATCCACCTGACCATTCACAAATGTAGCCCATAGTATCATTTGAAATGTTATCTAATTTTTCCTCAATTCTAGGACAGAATGGACCAAGGTGTCTACTTATGTCATCTATATGTTTCCTAATCCTTCTCATCAGCAACACTCTAATGTTTTCCAGCATTGTGATAATGGGTTTCTTTCTTGCCTCTACTATGACACTATTGAATACCTCACAATTGTTGTTTATCAAAATATCACAGATTCTACTAACGGGGAAGTATGCCTTGCACCAATGTTGAGGTGGGACACCTGAATCTAACCACCTAAATGCACCTTCATCTACATTCCTCATATATCCCATGCATTTGTTAAAGTACTCCAAAGTGGTTGCTTTGGAACATTTCCAAAACAGTTGAGAAAACAACTTACCCCTATACTCTTTCTTGAAGTTTTTGAGATAGTGTCCTGCACAAAATCTATGCTTACAGTCTAGTAGAAGGTCATGAATTGCTAGCACCAAACCCTAGAAATGGAAAATGAAAAATGCATTAAACTGGTATCCTTTCGAATGTAGAATCAAACATAGTATGTATGTAGATTATTTAAAAATTGTATTACCTTTTATTGGTCAGAAATAATAGTCCAATCAGACTGGTCTGCAAGCCCAATGTCAGCACAAACTAGTTGTACAAATCAAATCCATGATGATTTTGTTTCCTTTTCAACTATGGCATATGCAAAAGGGTACATCCCGTCATTTGTATCAACCCCTATTGTTGACAGCAACTGTCCTGTGTATGTTCCTCTCAGAAAACATCCATCTAGTTCAATCACTTTTCTGCACCCTTGTTATAAAACCTTGCTTGAGTGGCCCCAAACAACAATATAATCTTTTAAATCTTGAATTTTCATCTCCACCAATGTTGTCATCCACATCTACAACCATTGTACATCCTGGCATTGCCCTTTTGATTTCTTTACAATAATTCCATATAAGTTTGTATTGCTTAGTATGATTGCCATCAACTAGAACCTTAGCCTTTGACTTTGTTCTATAAAATTTACTTCTTGATACTCTAACTGAGTGATTCTTTAGGATAGTTTCTCTAAAAGACTTTGTTAGCCACTGTGAATTAGACCTAAAGTTATCCATATACTTCTTGGATAACCAATTTGATGTCACATTATTGTTATAAAATGCTGGTCTACAATTGATATGCTTATCAATCAAACTCTTCACTTGCAACCTTGCATCTTAGATGCAAACACCATCCATTTACATGGTGGCTTGCACTTGGCTCTAACTCTCCATTTCTCATTATTCACAAAGCTTATTTCCTTCCTATTAAATATGGAATACTCCTTTACAGCGTCTCTGAAATATTTAGCTGTGCAAATAACAAACCTACTGCAAACTGTGGATTGTTCATGTGCTTATCTAAATTAAAAACAGGATGCCTCCCTTTGTGAAGATGATTTTCTTCATCAGATGAGGTTTGAAGCCTCCTGATGTCGTCAGAAAGTTCATACTCTGAAACAACATTATAATCATCAACCCCTGCATTCTTCTGGTTAGATCTCATACCACTCCACTTGGGTGCATTATCAACAATCATATCAATCGACACCTCATCTCTCATTCAATTCATTATTAGTGTTATTTGCAGATTTTGAACTACTAACAGAGTTTGTTGAAGCATTATCAAGATCAAAGTTACTATCACTAGTGGTTGACTGCACTTGGATTTGTATTTCATCTATTGTTGCCTCATGCTCTAAGTATATCTCAATCACTCTATATGTTGGTATCCATTCCACCATTGAAATAATGTCTATATCATTTTCCAAAACCCTCAACCCACTGATGATGTCCATTGCAAGAACTCTATACCAACATGCCCTTACATCAACACACCCAATCTCTTTGGCCATGCAATGAATCTCTGGAATCGAAATTTTATCTCCATCAACCCAGTCAATGTACACAACAGAACCACCCACGTATTTCTTATATGGAATGTTTATAAACTCACCCCATGGTGTACTTCAATACTGAATAGAGTAGAGTATATGGCTGAAATCATGCAAAATTAAAGTAAAAACATAAACAAATGAATTACAACACTTTATTGGGACCTCTGTTATTAGGACCACTCACAAAAATATATTCTAATATTCTAAAGCACTAGTAATCAAACTTCTGAGACCACTTACATCAACATATAATACAAGACAAAAAAACAAAAGGTAGATCTTTCAACACCAACAGAAAATTGAAACTCAAAAATCAAATAATATAATATTTTTCTTTATTCAAAAAACTCAGAATCATGACTTACAATATATTTTATCTAGATCCAAAAACTGATCTATAGGTCGCAACACCCAAGACATCGTTTTGGTAAAGCACAAAGAAATAACTGATTAAGATAGGGTTTATGAACAATGGATGAAATCGGATGGAGGTAAGAGAAGAGACGAACAATTGAGCCAAATACTTTCTTTTCCCTTAATTACTCCTAGAACTTGCCTCACGTAAGTCATGCGTGCATCTGTCCGTCACAGTAAACAGTTAAATTAGATGTAAGGGCTTGATTGACATAAATTGATAAGTTGAGAGGCTAAATTGACACAAACCAAAATTGAGGAAATTAATTGACACAAACTTATATAGTTTAAGGGCTAAATAAGTAGTTAACTCTAACATTTTAGTAATTAATTTTTGTATGAGTCCTCACATAGAGTGTATGAAACCTAATTACGAAATAATATAAGATTAATTACTTATTAATGAGGTGTATATAACATGAGATGAACTTAATTACTAATTAAGTGAATATAAAAGAAGTGAACTTAGTAATTTGATAATAAAAATTTTAATGGGTTGAGAATGGATTTGTAAAGTGAAACTAACCCCCACCCCTCGAGTATAGGTACAACACATCCTCGTATATACATTCCAAATGAGTCCTGCTTTTTCTCCCTTAGTCAAGCATGCTATCCAATCTTTTTTCCAAAAAACTTGAGTCCGTCTGTTACCTGGGATATGTAATTTAAGAAAAGATAATTCCAAAACAAACAAAACTTTAAACAAAAATATTAATGTTAATGTACTACGTCCTAAATTTACATACACTACCTCCACGCTCCATAAAAAACTGCTATTCCTACTTTTCCAAAAGGAAATAATCACTAAAACACGTTAAAAGAATCTTTCCTGAAATCAATTGGCAAGAGACAGAAAGACCCCTTAACCATTTAAAACAACCTTAAATGGTCAAACCTTTTAGATGTAAGGTACAGTCTCTTCACATCATTCCTCACTTTGGAGCCTGGTTGATAAACCAAACAAAAATGGTCAAATGTAAGTGTGCACTCAACCTAAAATCAATTGGTAATGCTTCAAAAACGTATTCAGTCCAAACATTGACAAACATGTCCACAGCACATACACTCCAACTTGTGGAAAACTGTAGCTTCATTACAAAAAGAGCCAGACAAGCCTTTCCATTTATAATTTTCACATAAACATTAACATTTAAAATAAAAATAAAAATGGAGTGCAAATTATGCAAGCCATATACCCATTTAGGAAACTGCTGTCTGAAACGCAGGACTAAACCATATACATCCTCCTACAGCTAAAGCTCAGATGTAAGACACCAAGGGCTACTGGTGGAACATAATGGTCCTCTCTGTAACCATCCCCTGTACAAGACAGTAACTAGTAGCAAACCATTATCAGTACCATCAAGTTGTTCAACTGATTTACCCATTATGCCAATGCTGTCAGAAAAATAAAGCATCAAGGAAGATTACAGAAGGAAAAAAATCACATCAATATTGCTACATGAATACAGTCCACCGTACAAGAGCTATAGAGGATTTTCAACTGTAAAACCTTACTCATATACGAGCATCCTCACCTCTGCTAAAAATTTAGAACCTCTCCACTTATTACCTATACAATTGGCCAATATTAATCACAGGATTGATGTGGCAGAAGGATGAAACAACTTACATGGTAAAAAAAAAAAAAGGTGAATTGAGGAATGCATGCAAGATGGTACAATTTAAACTTTGTGCATCCTTTCTTCTCCAATAATCCATCTCGTCAGCTGGCTTGGATCTCCAGCCAAAGCTTTACATGACTTGGGGACAATCCCAAGATCAGCACCAATTTGGTCATACTCCTTGAGAGATGCTTCCATCTCCGCTTCAACAGCTGCATCATCCATGCAGTCAATTGTGCCCATGCAAAGAATGTCAGCGTAATGCTTCTCTTTCTCAGGATCGTGCTGGAAGGGTTCCATTGCAGGGCCCTGTTCAATCCAAAATTGCAGATGAAGAGAGCTACAGACAGACAAAATGACCCCCAGCACATCTTTCACCATAAAAATATAATACTATTAACACTTTTCTGTTCAATTATCCTCCCATAACAAAGACATTCACATTGTCAAACCTAAAACGGACATTGATCATGATATCGTCAACGCTTGAAAAGGGCTTACCATTGGCACATGTATGCTTGCTGCACTGAGCAGCTAAGTCATGAGCTTTGCAGACCATTCAAACATATTCAATCTGTTTTCTATGCAAGACAAAGTATGTGCAATGTCAACTGGCTCCAGTCAGCCAAAGAACACAGGCAGGTGACTGGTCATGTGGGTCACCAATTTGGGGAATGCCCTATGGTCCTCACTGAGGTCAATTAGACCACAGTGAATGTGGGAAGCCAAGGAATCCCATTCAAGACATCAAAAATTTGAAGTTCTCACAACTGACCATGACAGATCTCCCCAAAACAGTGTTTGTGGCTATTTTGAGTTTCTTTTCCCTTTTTTGGGTGTGCATGTGCTTTCCTGTGTATGCACATGGGCATGAACAACATATTACTGTGTCAAAACAATGTTCAGAACAAATTTTGAAGTCACTTATTTGCATAGGAGACAAGATTGCCATACCTAAATCTCTTTCATCTATTTAGGGGCTGTAAATAGCTGGCTAAATTGCTAGCATTTTTCCTTACTGTCGTGTAGTGCGCTAGTGAATAAGAAAAACAAATTGATATTACCAGTTAAGATGGTAATTATATTTATTTATCAGTAAGGGTAGTCTAATCTTTTTCATTATGGGTTTTCTCTTCTTCTATCCTTTCTCTCTGTGGCTTCTTTTCGTTGCACTAGTTGATCAATGTTTTCATGATGTAAAATCAAGGTTTGATACTTTTGCATTCATCTTTCTTCTACAAAGCATTCATTGTTTGTTGTCACAAAGTTTTGCCTGAGCCCCAACTACGTTCAAATTGCTGCATCGTTGAAATCCTTGTTTATTGAAGAGATTTGTTGATAGGTTAAACTCGGTGTAACAGTACCAAGGAATATAGCGTGAACAGTGCGTTGCAGCTAGGGTTTTTTTTTTTTTTTGGACTTGTGGCTGCTACTGGCTTTGCTTGGTTAGATGTTCTGAAATTACAAATCTGCCCCCAGCATGTTCTGAAATTACAGAATCAGCCCTAGAATGTGCTTAATTTATAGAATCTTCCCTAGGATATTCCTAAAATTACAGTTTTGTCCCAGAATTTTTTGTCCAGAATTTTCTGAAATTGCAGAATCAGCCCCTAATTTCTAAATTTTCAGCATTGACCCCAAATTTTCAAGTTACTCTGGTCCTTGATTAAGATGAGTATCTGTAATTATACTTATTATTATGGCAAATGGAAATTCAGCAAATACATCATATGTGGATGCGTCGTTTATTTCTTCTCCTATAGGTTTGTCATCATCGACTCTTTCAGGATATCTCGCTCCATTAGGATATTTGTTTCAGGTGCGACACATCATATGATTAATGATATATCTTTGTTTCTTTCTATCTCATCTCTTCCTTCCCCTACTAGTGTTAATGGCTGCTAATGGCATTCCAATGTCATTGGTAGGTGTTGGATCTAATATGACTTCACTCTTCCCTCTTCCTAATGTTTATTTTATTCATTAATTATCTTCGAACTTGATTTCTATTAGTCAACTTTGTAATCTTGATTTCATTATTTACTTTTTCTCTAGTGGTTATATTGTGTAGGATCCCCATTCTAAGAAGTTGATGGGGTCAAGCCGTGAGTTAGAGGACTGAATGTCCTAGAAAACTTACATATTCCAATTGTGACTCTTTTTGATGATTTGTCTTCTTTTCATTTGAGTCCTAAGTCATCGGGGTTTTATTTATTTTATTGGTACATTAGGTGAGTTAAATAGTCATGGTAATTCTGATTGTAGTATTTGCAAACTTGCTAAATTCACTTCTTTATCTTTTCAGAGTAGTTCCAATTCTTCTGCTCCTTTTGATCTTTTATATTTTGATGTGTGGGGTCCTGTCCCCATTGCCACAAACGGGAAATCTCAGTATTATGTTTCTTTCATTGACGATTGTACTCGATATTGTTAGACTTATCTCATGGAACAACAATCTGAATTTTTATCTATTTTTTCCATTTTTGTATCATGATTCACACATAATATTCTTCAGTCATCAAATGTTTTTATTGTGAATTGGGTGGAGAATTCAGACACAATTATTTTCTTGACTTCTTGAAATTTGATGGTACAATTCAACAGTCTTCTTGTGTAGACACTCCTGAGCATGAGCGAAAACACAGACACATGATAGAGACTCCCATCTCATTGCTCTTTTATGCGTTAATTCCCACTTCCTTTTGGGGCGAGGCTGTTCTCATTGTTGTTCATCGCATTTATCATATTCCCTCTATTATTACTTCGGGTCTTTCGCCTCTTGAGCAGTTATGTGGAAAACCTCCAAAGTACTTTTCTTTGCGATGAATGCAATAAATCATTTGCTCGTTCTGCTACGTGTATCTTTCTTTATTATGGTGAGGAATAAAAAAGATATCATTGTTATGATCCTATTGCTAGAAGATTGTATCTTGTGCTCATTTTTCATTATTATGAAATATTAGAGTGTCACATATGATTTCTCTTCTTCTATTCTCTCTACGTGTGGCTTCTTTTCCTTGCACTAGTTGATCTATATTTTCCCTAATGACACATAGAAGTGGAGGATAGAACATCTTTAGTGGAAGATGTGCCTTGCCCCTATCTACTTTAACAGATAATGTGAATGATGGGAATCATATTGATAAAGAAGAGGCATAGGTATAACCTCTCCATCTAAACCATCTTCCCAAGGCTCCCAACACATTTTTTATTCAAAAGAAACTTCGCAACCAAATAGATAAGATCAAAATTCTGCGTCCCCTTGATGACCCTCCCTTCAACTTGAACGGGTCCAAAGAAATCAACCCTCACCATATCTATTACAGGCGGGTTTTGAAAATCCAATAGAAATGAAAGATGATATCATCACATAGTCGTCCCAAGCAAAGGTTTTGTCCTCCAAATTACTCAAAGTCAACTCCTTTTCTCATTCTCTCTCTTCCTCACCATTGTCACATTCATTCTACTAAACCAAAGACTTTAAACCTTGCCTTTTGCTCTCAAAACATCACTTTGTAAATGTTTGTTGGATTTGAAGGAGATCTGCCTATAGTGTCAAAGTTCCTTTATTCAAATGAACGGAAACATGGTGATGATGGACTGAACCTAAACTCACGGTCCTATGATCTACTAGGTGGTTAAAACATTAATACCAAGGGTATTTGATCAAGGTTTCGATTTTAGGCACTATAAATGGAGTTGAAAGAACTTCTGGATGGCAAGAGATAAAGCAAGGTTTAAAGGCTAGAATAGTAGGGTAGGGTAGCTTTAAGGTTTATGGGATCAAAAATTAGAGATTATGGGACAAAAATAGTCTGATGAGTGTATTTGATGAGGTACTAAATTATTCAAGCAGTTTCAAAATCAAGAAGGAGAATTGAAGAAAAACCATCCACATCCGATATGATACTTTGTGGTTACCCGATGATATGTATTGGAAACATATCATGAATACATCTTGATAAGGGTATCCAAGATGAAAATGCTTTGGATAAATACAAAGCAATATGTGGAATTTATAATTTTAATCCTCCCCATTTCTTCTTGAATTTACATATATTAACATACCTAAAGAAAAGTTCGTATAACTTGGAAGAGAAGTGAGTATTTTTTTAAGTATTATCTACTACAAAAAATTAACTAGTTAACTGCTGGTTGTAGTGTCTTTAATTAATATAGGTTAGTGGTTGACCTAATGACCACCACCCCTCTGTTGGACCTAAAGGTCGCGGATTCAAACCTCTTCGTCCCCTCCCCGGTAAAAGTGTTAAAAAAAATAATAATAATTTCTTTAATTAGCCACGCTTACTTTATGACCACCACAATGAGACGAGTATGTTTCTATGAAAGTAAAACTCGCATATTTTTTGAATTGTATAAAAAATTATTGAAAATAATCAAATTGTTAGATGACAATAAAATTATAAAAATATGTTTTATTGTCAGACGTAGCCTGGCCATATTCATATCGCTCTGTATGTGACGTATTGTACTTGTATTCCATATCCATACTTCCGAGACAAAGAATAAATGAACTAGGGAAACAAAAACCTTAGAATGACCATAAGGGCTTCTAGTGTCACATAAAAGAAATCGAATGGTGTCTCAACCTTTAAAGATAGCAAAACTGCCAAAAAAATCCATTGATCAGTTTGTTAGAAACATCCCTACATAGACTAACTGATACAAATACATACACCTCCCTAATTCACACAATGAACAGACTATATAAACTCAAACTAGAAAAATGGCTTAATCAATTTCAAGCAACAAACGAATTATTTGGGCTCATCAAACAACTACAAACCAGGACAATACTTACCATAAAAGCCTGGACAATATACAAATTCAGAAATGCTAACATCTATCTGATCAGCTTCCAAGAAACCCTGATTAGAAAAAACCTGAATTTCCTGACTCCAAAGTATTGGAACCATATGAGTTCAATTTAATCAGGCCACCTAAGCATGACTCCAACCAATGTGAATGCTGGTGTCACCCTTGAAGAATTAGTGGGACCCACATGGCAGTTTCTTTTTCTTGTCCTTTCAAGAAAAAACAACTGAAGGTATCCATCCCAATCACATGGCCTTAAAATGGAAAATAGTTAAATTTCCAATGTCAATTGCGTATTTTGGTGACTTTACCTAAATTAACTGTAGTAGAATTACGTCTGCAGTATATTGATTGATCTTTCAGACAATGCTACATCTTTAGACGACATCTTTTCTTTATTACAACCATTTTTTTTGAAGGCTTACTATGTAGCACGTTGTTGCAATGTTACTCAACACCTATCCAATACACTGCCAGTAAGTCATCCCAATGCTCCCTCAATCAGCGATCAGTCCAGAGACATTAAGACTTAATACACAGACATCCAAATAAATAATTTGAAAGTTCCTTCAAATTATTCAGGGAAAAAAAAAGAATTGTGACAAAATAGAGGGAAACCAGTGCAATAAACTTTCTTGCCACATCCAAACATAGAAAAGTCTTTTTTCTTCAGTAAATGATTTCCACATAGATGAATATGGCCTACTATAATTACAAAAACTTTACTAAAGACAGTTTGTCTTCATTACCTGGCATAGTTCAGCATAATGCCTATAGATCTCGCTGTTTTCATCTTGATCACCGAGCAATGTACCACCATACCAACCATTGCCTTCGTCTACTGATGTCATTGAAAGGTATCTACATAAAAGGTGCCAATCACAGTGCATCATTGATTAGCAACATTCTAGACCATACTGAACAGTTGCCTTAAAATATGATATACCAAGAAATAACTATTAATTTTTTCCACAAAACGAGGGAAAGATCTGAGAAAAGATAACCCAACACAGGCATTATTGGGAATTTCTCAGACAGCATATTTGTAACTAGTGCAATCAAGTACATGATTGGATCAAGTTCCGCCTGATTTAAAAATTACATGGTGGCGACATAGGTCCAATCGTACTTTCTTATGTTCTGGAAGGCAAGGGTATTCTAGTAACATTGATAAACATTGACTTGGGCTCCAGTGAAAAAATGTGTACCTCTGGGTCTACTGATGCTAATGGGCCTTGAGATATGGTCCAAATTCCACAGAAGTTTCGTAGTGTTATTAGCAGTTGACTTGTCATGTACCCCATGAATGTCTACCTAATCTGCCTTTTCATGCATCCTGACGTAGGGGTTAAGGAGGTAATATTTCTATAGAATTCTCCTCTTTTATTTTCTGCAATTCAATTTTGCTATAATAACAATAACTAGATATTATTTTCTTTATTAAAAAGGCATACCAAGTGCATGAGGCCTCATATTACTTTCTTTATTCTCTGGTCTAAAACCCTATTCCATGAACACGAACATTATACCCTTTTAGCCTTCATTTTGAATCCATAATCAACAAGAATAGTTGGCCAGGACTTTTGTTAACATTCTATACACTAGGGAACCAGCCAATTCTGTACATTTCCAATCCAAGAGGCCTACAACATTCTCCATACTTGAAACCCTAACCCCATGGGTGTTCCACACGGGCTGCAGTGAGAATATGGATCCCAATGGGACTATTTAAGCCAAATGGTCTAAAGATGTTGTTCATAATAGGTCTATGGTGTTCATAACAGTCTAAATGTCATGTGTGTCTTGTTCAAAGTCCTGGATCTAATAGTTGATGATCTGCCTTCTATATAATCTGCCAACCAGATGCATCCTAACATAGGGGTAAGGAGGTAAGATGTCTGAAAAATTATCTTCCTCGTTACTTTTCTGCAATTGATTTTTGCTATCATAACTACATTGGTTCTTAATCTTTTTATTTTCTGATCCAAAACTCTATCTCATAGACACCAGACCTCCCCCTAGGCTTTTATCCTTCCCTTTCAGTGCATAATCAGCTAGAGTAGTCAACCAGATTTTTGTCCTCGGTAGGTGAACATGAAGTTCATTAACCAAATAGAGAAAATTGTTGAAGTCTCCAACCTTATCCAAATCTTAACTCAAATTTAAATATGAGTAAAAATAGGCTAATAACAACATTTTACTCAAAAGTAATACCAAACGAGAGACCCAAATTTTTACTCAAATCAAAAGAGATTCAAATCTTTACTCAAATTTTCAATGGTGAGATTTCATCATCATTTAAATATCCAATGGTCATATTTTACGGTCCTTTAAATTTGAGAATATTCTCCTTTAAATTTGTGTTTGTCCGTTGGAGTGCTTAGTATCAAATCAAACATTTTACTCAAAAATTAACTCAAATTTGAATAAAAATATGAGTCAAGATTAGCGATGGCGTAAGAGCCACATGGAACATATTCCATAAGAAAGCTACTCAACACAAAGCTAGTCTATCAACAAAGAAAGCCCTAACAGCCCAAGAAATAAGCACAAAGCATCACACCTCGAAAGACCCTCAACTGGTCAGGTGAACATACACGTCTTTACTAAAAAGGGTTGATTACATACACCTCTCCTGACGTTTGTCAAAATATCCAGTAGACCTGCTCAGGTATGGATAATAACACTGACGTCCCCTATCGGTGACCTCTGTCCTAGTAATCTAATAGAATTAGCAAAATGACTATAATGTCCTTAAATGTGAAAGATTCTTTAATGGTTCATTGTTAGCTAATTTTACAACATCCAATCATACAATGCCACGTGATTATAAATACAAAAACTAATTTTCAAAAATCAACTATAAACTACTATTTTCTAAAAAAAAAAAAACACAAATTATCCCAAAAACAAAAACCAATATTGTCATTTCATCACAATTGATCAATAATTCATCAACAAGATGAAGATATTGAACAATTTATCATCGACGATCAATTCATCATAAGTTTTCTTTGTTTTTTCCTTCTGTCGGTTTCATGTCCTTCTCTCAAGTGTGGTGACCGTAATCTCAGTAGATTGAGTCTTCAATTGCGGGCCCTATTGTTTGATTTCAGAATGTGGTGTTCAAGATGTGTTTGAAGATGTAGTTTGTGCTAAATGGACAATGTTTGGGAGCTGAAGATTGTGGTGTTGTCATGACTGGTTGTTGATGATGTTGTCAGTCTGTAGTTGTTGATCGTCATCGTAATCTTGTTTGTATTGCTGTAGTTGAACAGAGGAGACGTCATTGGGAGCTTTCACGTGTCTAGCCTCTGTTGTCAATTTTGACTATTCATTGCCGTGATATGTCGTCATTGCCATAGTTGCGGAGTGATTTGTTGCTGTGAAAATCAAAGGTCCTTTCCACTGTTGAGTGTCTTCGATTGTGGCTGTTGAGTTCGTCAAATGCCTCAGTTCAGTCATCTATCGTTTGTGCCTTGCTGTGTTGATGTGGCCGGCGTTCTTCGTTTCACCGGAGAAACCAGATTGCGATCATCTTCGAAGCAGTTGTCAGAATCGCTGGTAATCCCTTCGTTTTTGCCACCTTTTGGTTTCATCGCCGCTAATACTCTGACTCATCGTCATTTTTAATTGTTCCCAACAACCAGTTCTTCATTGCATCATCATTCAAGTTGGAAGCTGGGGCTGCGATCTTTGTTAGGCTGATCAGTCCATTTTTAGGCCGATTCAGCTCCATTTGACTATTTTTCAGTCTGTTTTCTTCAAGTTCAGTCTCAGATTGGCTCGATTTAATGCTTTCATAGCTAGTTTCTTGGCGGTTCATCTTAGTTTAGTGTTTCTGTTGCCCACTTCTTGAGGGTCCAGTGTTGGATTAGCATTCTTGGAGCCCATTTTTACTTAATTTCAGCCTCTGCTCAGAGTTGTTGTATTATTATCTTGCTTGAAATGTCTCCTCAGAAACTAGTTTTCCATTCTTCTACTGCTACTTTTGCCTGTATCACTCCTAAATGCTTAATAATACCTCAAAAACTAGTATACGAGGCCTTTGAGCCTCTTCCTCAATGTCGAATGGTTTTAAGTTGGATGCTTTAAAAATTGTTACACCGTACAACTCTTGATATCAAGACACTTACTTCTTCATCAGATTCTAAAAATGAAATCAATTAGGAGAAGTGATATACAAAACTTAATGTACATTTTTATGTCAGCAAATAGGGAAGGTTTAATGAGCCAAGCAAACAAGCAAGTAAAACTCGATGCTCTAACTAGATTTGTCAGCCTAAAGTTAGGCCCTAAGCTTTGTTTCTAGTAATCAAAGCCAATAAGCAAGCATGCCAGCAAGAAAGTATGTCAACTGATCTAGATAAGAATAATACCACCAGCAAACATATTCTATTGACAAAAACAAGATCAGGTTCTCATGAGACATACCTTTGGAAGACATCCTCTTCATTGGTGTCACCAATAGACGAAAGCCAATTTAGGTCACATAAGCCATCTATTCCCTTCTCCTCTTGAGACCCTCCATTTGCAACATCATGTGAAGCTACTTTGGGCACAGAGTTACTATGCTCATGCTTCCTCTGCCCAAAAAGCCAATTTGGGCTTTTGAGTTGTATTTCACTGCAAGAAACAAGTATTGACTTCTTGTTAAGCAATAAACTACTAATACTAAACCATCAGTGTTTACAAAGCTGTTTCAGCACTCACACAATTGATGCAGAAGTCAAAGAGGGGGTTGCAGTGGTCGTCCAAAACGTTTTCGTTTCCATGAAAATCAAAACAAATCATTTGATTGAATATCAAAATTCCTATATTTCGAAGTATTTCGGTTGTTTCAACCAATGTTTCGAAAACAAATTTTTCAATTTGTTATTTGTTTCCGTCTTGTTTCCTAAACATTTTTGTTTCTTAGCGCAACGAAACTATGAACCGAAACGAAATTTTAATCCTTGTTTAGTCCCCAATTTCAAAAGAAAAAGGAAGAAGAAAAACCAAAGAGGAAACCACAATTTCTCTGCATTGTTCTTGTCATATGCCCATTTCACAGAGTTATAGAAACCATTTTGCTGAAAGTTGAACCAATTTAACAAGTAATCACCAAAGCACCCATTTGGGAAACTAATGTTAAACGAAGTTTACAGGAACCACTAGAAAAGCACACCCCTCTGTGTGCACACCATCAGAGAGAGAGAAAGAAAGGGAGTGCTTCTGAAAAATCATAAAAATAAAGCACTGGTGGATAGGCATCTCTTCCAATTCAACTGTTCTCCTACTCAATCTTTCCAAGGCACCACCAAAGGTAGCAATGTGCTGCCCACTACTTCCAGCCCAATTATCTGCTCCTCCCTGGTCACGTTATTCCCAAGGACTAACTTCAGGATCGTGCATTGAAATTCAAACAAAGGCACAAGAATGTATCATATCTCATGAGCTATCAGGTATCTAAGATTTGACCTTAGGAGACTAGCAAAAATATTTCACATTACTAACCCTCAGAGGCCACCCTGACACCAAAAAAACCATAAAAACAACCTTAGTAAAAAAACCAGCTCAGGAATACTCCCCTCCAATGTTTCTTCTTGTACATTATGGTGACAGACTATACATGCACATTGTGGTGTGCAAGAATGGCTGGCAAAACTACCCTTCAATGTTTCTTTCATGTTTAAGAGAACATGTAAGAAATTCCAACAACAAAGATTGAGCTATATTAGGAATGTTCTCAAATATTTTTGGATGAGTGACAAACTTTATTAAAGAATAAAGAATACAAAATAAAGAGAACAAATCAAGGATATAACAGCTTATCTTTTCAAAAGTAGACATGAATTTGGGGCATCAAAAAAAAGGAAAGAGGGTCTCTCTTCATGGGATGGAGGGACTACAACCACTATGATATTAATTTGCTTGGTGAACTTCTCCAACAACTTCCTAGGGTCATTCGACGATCGGACACGTGTTATGGCCCCCATTTCTCGAGAGGTCTAAGCCCCTCACCCGCACTCATAATCTCATTTCCCCAACCCTCAGCCACAAGCATCTTATGTCATGTCAAATTTCCACAACCATCTACACATAACCCCACCTTCTTAATGCTTAAACTCAAATGATCCCCCCCTCCCCAAAAAGAAAAAAAACAATAATAATCACAATATATGACCAAATATGCATGGAACGAAGAAAATAAATTTCATTTTGAAACGATTGAAACGTTTTTGTTTTCATGGAAATTGAAACGAATCATTGATTGGATATCAAAATTTTTATATTTTGAAGTATTTTGGTGTGTTTCGATCTATATTTCAGAGTGTTTTGACCAATGTTTCGAAAACAAATTTTCAAAATTTTTATTTGTTTCCATCTTGTTTCCAAAATATTTCTAAAACATTATCGAAACGTTTCTGTTTCCAAGAGTACCGAAACCATGCACCGAAATAAAATTTTGATCCTTGCATGGAACTAAGTCGACCTACTGATACTTAAATTTCTTACTCGAGCTTGCATTGGAAAAAATTCATTCGCATCTGCACTAATCTATTTGCCATAAAAAACAAAGAGTCGAGAAGTTGTGACAAAGATACTCCTCTGAAATTCGTGCAGATTCCATATAGAGGTGAGAAACACAACTCTGTTCCAAACTAATTGCAATGCAATCAATGTCTTTTGACAACTCTTGAATTCCTCACTAAACAAATATTCCAAGGAACCGCTATCAAAGCACAACTCCACCAAACCTTTGTTTCTTTGCTTTTACCAAAACCCCAAGATTTAGTCTACAACAGCTCGTCAACTATAGCCGAACAAACCCATACCTTTCCAATCACATTACATAATTTATTCCACAACTCCCAAGAAAAAAGCATGGACTAAATAGATAGAGATAGACATTAGATTCTCCATGTCTCATACAAGTTGAAACATACTAGGACTCAAAGCTTTATAAGATTGTCTCCCCTACAACATATCATTAGTATTCACCTTGTTGAGCACAAAAGACCAAACAAAAGCCTTGACTTTTGAGGGGCTCTGTACCTTTTAATGAATTTGTCAAGGAAAAAGAAAGAATAGTATGATAACTAACAAGATAGGGATTCAAATTCTACAATCATGAGAAATATTAGGATTGAAAATTCTAAAGAATAAGAATAAAAAAGTCAAATCCTCCACTTCTCTATCATTTAGACACCTAAAGAATGAACATCATAAGAATAGGAATCCTTCCCTCCGCCCCCCCCCACCAACAAAAAAAAAAAAGTAAACAATAAAACTAGAAATAGAAGCCTCATGGAGAGAAGAAAGGTGATAAAGTCACGAAAAACATCACTTAAAGCTAATAGGCCTTCCCACTTAACCTCCCAAAATAGAAACCTAGATCCATCTCCCACCTTAGAGCGAATCAATGTTAGGAAAGAATGACACACATTTGCAATGAATTTTCCAAGACTCATATGAGTTGCATTATGCCCATATTTAGTATCCCAACCATTCTGATGAAGACTATACTTACTCCTTATTACTTTATGCCAAAGGGAATTAGGTTCCAAAGGGAATCTCCATAACCATTTACCAACAACAAAAATACTTTTATACATAAATTATCAAGTCCCAAACCCACTCATTTATAGGCTTACACATTACATCCAACTCACTAAATGATCTCATTTATCCTCTCATACTTGACCAAAGAATGTCTTTTATGATCTTCTCTAATCTTTTAGCAACACCAAGTAGAATTCTAAATCAAGACATATAATATATGGGAATACTAATCATACAAGACTTAAAAGTAATATGCCCTGTTGAAGAAAAATATGCCCATTTTCAACCACTAATCCCCTTTCCACCAGCAAAACAACCAAGTCCCAAAATGATCTACGATTACCCCCTAATGGCTAACCCAGAAAACTCATGGGCCACATGAGTTACACAACCTGCTAAAATTCTCTCACAACCTCATCCTCCAAATTAATGTTTGCTGCTCCATTTTTGGACAAATTAATTTATGAACCACATACTTTACCAAAAATCTTTTAACAACTGGAGCACATTTTCCAAACCCTCTATTTTGTCACACAAGCGAAATATTACATCATCAACAAATTGCAAATGTGACACACTTACATGTTCACCACCCACTTTCATCCCTTCCACTAAATCCACCTCTTCCACTTTCATCCCTTCTGCTATTTTTTTTATCTCTTCTACTAAATCTACCTCTTCGGCTCTAAAAACTTTTCACTCAAAACATCAATCGCCAAAGTAAAAAAAAAAAAAGATAATATATCCCTTGCCTTAATCCCCCGGAAGCATCAAAACAACTCCTAAGGTTCACCATTCACTGACACTGAGAAAGTAAAAGAAGAGAGACACCTTCTAATCTACTTCCTCCATCTCTCCAAAATTTTTTGGTCTCAACACACAATTCAAAAACTTTCAACTTACCCGATCACATGTCTTGTCAAAATCCACTTTGAACACAATCCCCTTATTTCCTTCCCTCCTAATATCATCTACCACCTAATTTGCCACTAAAACTAAATCTCAAATTTTTCTATCAATAACAAATGCACTATGAGCCATTGTAACTATTACACCTAAAACCTCGCCAAGTCTCCAAGACAACACTTTAGAAACTATTTAATACAAACTAGTCACCAAACTAACATGCATATAATCATTTATCTTAATGGAAAGATTTTTTTTAGAAACAAAAGTTATACCGTAGAGGTTACACTTCTCCCTACCACCCAATTAGCAAAAAATTCATGAAAACGCTCATAATATATTCATTTATGGTCTCTTACCTAGTCTAAAAAAAACCCATAGAGTAGTTGACTACTCTAATTATCTCCTCTTCCTCAAATAGCCTCCCAAGCCAACTTTCTCGCTCAAATATTATAAGACACCAATAAATACCTTCAGTACTCCGTCTAAAGGAAATAATCCTCTGTATACAACCTTTTATAGAACATAATTGGGAAGTTAACTCTCCCCGCGACATATATCGTCTTTTCTAGTTTGCTAATCTCCCCTCCACCCTCGTAACCATATAATTCAAAAAGAGGCTTTGCCTTGGACAAACAGAAATCCTAAATAAGAAATGGGAAAGGAATTCGATAGTACATCCCTAACCTCTACCCCATCCATTCCTCTAGTTAGAATCACATCATTCTTAGCTCAATTCGCTTTCATCTATGAAAGAACAATAAAACCTAATAGTGCACATTTCATATATTTTATAGGAGAAAGAGAATATATAGAAGGAGACTTTAAACATACGAAAGGATGGGGTTGGATATGAGAAGGTACATGATGGACATGGATTTGGAGATAGGAACAATGCCGCAAATTTTGTCGTCGATTTTGCTACGACATATGATCTTATAATAGCAAATATGTATTGCAAAAGAGGGATAACCATCTAAGAACTTTTAAGTGGATTAAATAAAAGTCAAATAAATTTTCCCTAATGAGATGAGTGAATCGTAGACCATGTAAAGACTGTAATGTCATTCTTGGAGTGAACTTACTCACACAACATGAGATAATGGTATTAGATGTACTTATGAAATACAATATAAGACAAAAAAGATATTGAAAATCCAAGAACTAGAGGGTGAAATTTGAAAAATGAAAAGATTTGTTTAGGGATAAAATACTTTAAAAAGTAGTGTAAAATTTAGAAGATGAAACAAATCTAATGCGTAATACAATGGTAGAACATACTAAAAAAAATCTATTGAGGTTTTTGGATAAGCAAGAGATAATAGACCATTAGCGAGAGAAACTTGGTGGTGAAATGATGAGGTCCAAGGTGTGTTAAAAGCAAAAGAGAATGCTACAAAACATGATAAAAAATTAAAAACAAACAAAATTTTAAAAATTATAAGATTGCAAATAAAGAAGTAAAGAAGAGAGTAACTGAAGTTAAGTACAAAGTATATGATAATCTTTACTCTAAACAAGATACAAAGGATAGGGAGAAAAGCATATATAAACTTGCTAAATGAAGAGGAAAAAAAACTCATGTTAATCATCTTAAATGTATTAAGAATGAAAGCTATAGAAAAGAAATAGTAAAAATTGATGATCAAGAAATACTGAAGAGCGAACATTTTAAATATTTAGGGTCTATTATTTATAGTGTGTAAGATTGGTGACGATGTTATTCATAGAATTAATGCAAGTTGGACTAAATGGACGGGTGCATATGTTGTATTGTGCAATAAATTCATATCCCTAAGCTAAAAGGAAAGTTGTATAGAATGGGAATAAGACTCGTTCTTCTTTATAGTACCGAGTACTGCACAACCAAGAAACAAAATATTCCAAAATTGAGTATCGCAGAAATGAGAATGTTAAGATGTGGTAAAACTAAGAAAGAATTAGAAACGATTATATCTTTGAAAAAGTAGAGGTAGCACCTATAAGATATAGATTAAGGGAGAATTGACTTTGATGTATGACACTAATGACAGAGTAAGATGATAACTATTGACGTTAAGCGTAGGAATAGAGGAGGATCAAAATTAACTTTAAATGAAATAGTAAAAAGGATATGACAATTTATGGTTCAACAAAAGGCATGACCCTTAATAGGTCATAATAATGAAACAAGATTCAAGTAGCCAACTCCAAAAATATTGGGACAAGATTTTGTTGACACCACCGTATCTCCACTTTAGTGGTATTTTTGTTTGGGTCACCTTTCATTGTATAAGTTTTGTCAAGTTATTCCTTATTTGAGTTCTTATTTTATGTTAGAATGTGAGGGTCACTAATTGGGCAAGCATCATCGTAGTTGTTTTCCTAGTAGTAATGAAAGTCGTCAGTCTGATCAAACATTTGCGATCCGACAAGAATAAAAAATCTTTCTGCCTTTCAGTATTTTGTGATCTTTGTATATGATCTTTCTCATATGACTTGATTATTTTTTATAATAAATCGTTCTGAATTGCCCAAGACATTTGTTACTTTTTATAATAAAATTTTGGTACAGTTTGATAAACGTATTAAAATATTTCGTTCTGATAATGCCCTTAAATATGTTCAATCATTTAAGCATACATTTTGTGTTGGCCATGGTATCGTCCATCAAATTACATGTACCCATATATCCCAACAAAATGGGATATTCTCATACTCAAAAAATTTTCGCTACTATGATCCTATTTATGCCAACACTATATTAGTGCTAATGTTACCTTTTTTGAGTCTTCTACCTTCTTTTCTGCCTCAGATCATATCCTCTTTCCCAAAATTTAGTCTTTTCCAAGAGCCTTTGTTGCCTATTGTACCAAACTGTATTTCTTCTTCCTCCCTGATTGACAATCCTAGTTTATTGTCATTCCAATGACAAACTGGTTCCAGTTCAAAAAAAAAAAAAAGACAGACAAATTATTGCATTGTCTGATTTTATCGAGGTCCTATCCTCTGAACTATCGGCTAGTTCATCCTCTTCTGATTTACCTATTACATTGATAATAGATACTTAGTTGTACCAAGAATCACATTTCTAATTTTATTACTTTCTTCATCCTTTCCTTATTTTACATCGATTTTGTCTTCTATGTTGTTCGTAGCTCTTTGAAACATGCATTAGCATCTCTTAGGTTAAAAAATGGTTATGGATGAGAAAATGAAAACATGAGAATCGAACATGGGACCTTATTTCTCTTCCTTCTAGTGAACAACCTGCCAGTGGTGTTGAGTCTACACAGTGAAGTATCATTCTGATGGTTCGGTTGAGCGTTCGAAGGCCCCTTGGTTGTCAAATACTAGACCTAGACATATGGTGTGGATTACTATGAGACTTTTTCTTCGATTGCCCGTCTTAACTTTATTAGAGCTCTTATTTATGTTGCAATCAGTTATGATTGGCTTTTGTATCAGCAGATCATCAAGAATCTTTTTTTTAGATGGAGACCTACAAGAGGAAGTATATATAATACAACATAGAGATTATGTTGTATTTGGTAATGAACAATTAGTGTGTCGCTTTAAGAAAACACTAAATGGTCTGAAACAATCACTACGTGCTTAGTTTAATAAATTCAGTACCATTGTACTTCGATATGGTTTTCAGTATTCCACTTCAGATTGTTTAGTTTTTATGCAACGTTATGTCAAAAGTTATATCATTCTTATTGTGTATATTGATGACATTATCATTAGTGATAATGACTTAGATGGTATCGCCCACTTCATAGTCCATTTTGGCAAGCCATTTCATACAAAAGACTTATGTATTCTTCGGTACTTTCTTGAGATCGAGATTGCTCTGTTGAAGGAATTTATTTTTTTGTGCCAACGGAAGTATTATTTGGCTTATTCTTTGAAACTATGACTTTTGGTGCATGTCCACCTGATACTCTTATGAATTCTACAGTTAAGTTAGATGTTGAGTATTGTGAAGTTTTTAATGATGTAGATCACTATCAAAGGTTGGTTGGTAAGTTAATTTATTTCACAGTTACACTTCTTGATATTATCCATGTTGTTGATGTGATTAATCAACTCATTGGGAGACTGTCTGTCATATTTTTTGGTATCCGAAAGGTGCATTAGGTAAAACATTATTATATCGTCTTTCACCATCTATGATTATTATTAGCTTTTCTGATGCTAATTGGGCAAGTAGTCGTATTGATAGATGATCTATGTTAGGTTACTTACTGTACATATATTGATGATAATCTTATTACTTGGCATAGCAATAAAAGAATGTGGTTGGCATGTTCAAAATATGCATGTACCCTTTGTCTGTGTTAAAAAAAAAAAAAGAATGTGCATACACATTCGAGTGCAGGGGCTGAATACCGAATCATGGCTCATTCTCAATATCAGATGTTGTGGGTTCGTTCTCTACTTCATAGTATGAGTATTGGTGTGTCCTCTCCTAGGAAATGCGTTGTGATAACCAAACTCCTATTTTCATTGTCAATAATCCAGTATTTCATGAGATGACTAAACACATTGAAATAGATTGTTATTTTATTCGAGATATATTGATGCGTAAGGAGATTATCACACTATCAAGTCTAATGATCAACTGAGTGACATCCTTACCAAACTATTAGCTAGATTTGTCTTCAATAACATTTGCTCTAGTCTGGGTATCTTTGATCTTTATGCTCCAACTTGAAGGGAATTGTTAAAATTCTTTTTTATTAGTTGATATTGTAATCAAGGATCAAAATTTTGTTTTGGTATATAGTTTCGATGATCTTGAAAATGAAAAAATTCTGGTAATATTTCGGAAATAAGATGAAAACAAACAAAAAATTTAAAAATTTATTTTCGAAACATTGGTCGAAACAACCAAAACACCTCGAAATATAAAATTTTTGATAATTAATCAATGATTAGTTTTGATTTTCATGAAAACAAAAGTGTTTCAGATGTTTTGACCCTTTCAAAATAAAATTAATTCCTTGATTATAATTCTAATAATACCAGTTTACTATAAATAAGAGTGTAGGGCAATGTAACATCCTTTGTTTCTCTTTATCTCCCCTCCTTCTCGACTTCTCTCCAACATTAATATAATTTTTCTATATCAATTGTCATGTCGGACACAACGCTAAAAGAATATCGAACACTTATCTAGCGAATTTAAATTTCTAGTTATGAACATGGTTAAAAGAGTATCAGACACTTGTCCGACAAGTGTCGGGGTTCGACAAAGACATCATATTATTAAAAGTGTACGTGCTTCTTAGCTAAGTAATTCAACTCTAGTACCCCCATGACATAACCCTTAGTTACATGGTTAAAATGCCATTGTCCTTTTTCCCTTCTTGTTGCTTAGGCATCCCTTGCCCAATTGCATGCCTCCCATTTGATAATAGCATTAAAAAGTGATAAACTCCTTTCAACTCTTGGGCTCCACTTAACCTTCCAGCCCTCATCCTACCATTGAATCAATATTCTATGAGCTAAACATCCATGTGGCTTCATCTTCAAACCATTTGAAGGAAACTCAAGAGCCCCATGAAACTCATCATCCTCCATGTTGATACATGTTCCAATCTCAAATCCATAACCCCTAATCGTCAGTTGTCTTGTCTATACCCAAAGAGATTTTAAAATGGGAAAAGGGAGTGAAATGCACAGGAGACTACATCTCCACATCCTCTTACCACTCACCATTCTTTCAAACCAAGCCCTACCTTTGCCTAATCCTTCGCCCAAATTGACGTGAAGCTCTCCTCCAGCGATTTGCCCTTTCTTGCAACCCATATGAACATTGCTTTCTCCATTTAAAGTCGTTTCCCTCATCATCCGATAGCTTCCAATCAATGGGCATTTTTTATTTTTGGGTAAGTAATGGATTATCAATTTGAAGAGGACCCATACCTCAAACCAAAAGATTAGTGCCACTCAAGGTAGTAATATGGTTGATGGATTTCTTCACTCATCACCAATTGATTTTGGATTGTACACTCTGACAGGATATCAAACCAACCCTTGAGAGGTTAATAGATCAAGTATGTCACCCATTCGAATTTCCCAAAGCCTACTTCGTTTGGTGCAAGCTCGAATCCCATGGGCGGGAGGGTGCAAAAAGAACTTGTATCCCACATCAAAAGCTTATTGTGACCCAAGATTGACTTATATGATTGATGGGGTCTCTTCACTCATTGTCAATTGGTTTTGAATTAGATGTCTTTAGCTATAAAGATCCTCGACTTATGTTCATCAAACCGGTGAAATGCGTGCCAAACCCACCATTTGTGACGGTTAGGCAAAGCACATCCAAGAACATCACGAGTAAGGATCATAAAGGATTAAAACTAATGGTATAGAACCATTTTCAAAAGTACTAAAAAAAATGAAGTACAAGTAATTATTCAGCATTAAAGAAACATAGAAGGATAGAATAAACAAATCAACAGCACTACAAAGTGTCCATGTGAAATGGAGATTGGAACGAGAACATATAAAATAAAGACCAAGATGCTAAACAAAACATAATATCACTTAGTTCAAGAAGATAATTACGCTGCATCAGGTGCAACTCCAGAATTGCCGGTTTTTTGATCGAGTTCACTGTAAAGCCTTACATTCCTTATTGAACTGCATGTTCTCTCTATTAATTTATCAAGTGGTGTGAACTTCATCCGCAAGAAATCCTCTCGGCATGCAGGAATAGGGGCAAGGGTAGTTCCACCTCCTACAGGCCTAATATCAACCAGGCCACTACAAATTGAGGTGAATTGTAAATAATTAACATTAGAATAATCAAAAAAATACAATTAATTCATAAAAATCTAAGAGAACAATAGTAACAGTGTCCAAAACACGTATGCAGAATAAAGAAGTTAGTTTGGGTGCAAATGCACTTCATGTAGATGCCACGAATGAAGACCAGGATTGGGAACTAGGTCGACCCCTTCCAGTTTATGAATATACTAAGATATGAGATATGTGCTTAAGCTTACATGTACATGTCCCCATGTGTAAGTTTGCAAAAAAACAAGGAAAATAGAGGTGGAGAAGGCCATGCAAACAAGCTTGGATCCAGATCAAACAAGCCTGAACTTTGGAGAAAAAAGAAAACGATGATCCAATTGGCACAGCTTAGTTGTTGGAAAGAAACACATAGTTCATCATAGATAAGCAAGTATCATACTCAATTTTTTAGTGTATATCATGCAGCCCATTTTAATTTTAGAACTCATCTTTAGCTTACTACTCATTCTAAGGATTCAAGTCTGATAAGAGAACATGACTCCAATGAAGAATACCCATCTCTCATATAAGGTCATCTCGAGACATAGAATAATCGATAGGTTGGTAGAAGCAAAAATAAAAAAAAAATCAAAATTTTACCTCTTCTTTAGGATAGGGTCATCTCCAATCCTGGACAAGGTTGTCAGAAAGTGTACAGCAATGCATATCATTTTTTAAATTTTGTGTACCGTGTGTCATGACGTATCGTGTTTATTGAGATATGCTCAATTTTAAAAATTAATAATAAACAAACACACCTATGTATATACACACACATTCCAAAATAGTATAAACATCATTTCTGCTCATCATTTCGTTGGTTGTGTGTGCGAGATAGAGATCGTAAGAGATACAATCCTAAATCTTTGCAACAAATATTGAAATAAAACTAGGGTTTCGTCTATACATAAAAGAAGAAGAAAATAACAAGAGGATCACAGGCGAAGAAAACAATTGAACCAAAAAGGACAAAATAACCTATAGAAAATGATGGTTTTTCATTGTTTCGGATAAAAAAAGTTTTTCACTGTATCGAAACATACTAAATGTATCATGTGATACTATAAGAAAATGATACAACTAAAAAGTTCTATCACTTTTTCCTACATTGAAATGTATAATACATCAAGTATAGTGTGATAATAACAACACTCATCATGAATACATGAAGATAGTAGCCAAAACCTAACCGACACAAAATGTAGTTTACTAATCATTTAATCGAACATACTAAACCATGGTTTATTTATATTGGGAATTCCCAAAGTATGCTTTATGTGTCATTCTAATCATCAATGGTTCAATTAGTCTAATGGTACTCCTTACCTTGTGAGGGTTTTACCTTTTTAAAGTCAAGGTTTCAAACCCCCTTCCCTCCTCCCTCCTCCCCCCTCCCCCTCCCCCCTCCCCCTCCCTAAAAAAAAAAAAAATGGTTCAATTGATTCATTTTTACTCCTAAAGAATTGTACGTGTGTTTACGTGATCCCTAAGGCAAATGGTATCCAAATTACGAATGTTGTTTGGTTCTGTACTTCTCACATGATACTTGAAGTGGATCAAGTGAAAACAAAAATTTTAATGACTCGTCAATGGGACTAAAAAACAAGAAATAAATACCTTTCTAGTTTTGTTGTCCTTCTTCGTTTGACCTTTCTTTCTCTCTACTCACTCTCCACCAGTCAACCACCAAATGTTCTATACACACTCTCTCTCCAATCTCCATCCATCACCACCAAAAGCTTTCTCCACTCTCTCCCCATACATCAAACTCCTGAAACACAGTCCCCTCCCCAAACCCATAGTCCGTTGCCCTCAACTTCCCCCACCCCGAACACATGGGTTCCCTAATCCCTTACCATCAACGATAGTAAAGTTCAAATTATGCCAAGGGTTTCAATGGACATGGAAGCATGAATGGCTGAGGAATGGGTTAGCAATGATCAATTGAGTTGATGAGAAATTTGATCTCCTGGAATAATATGTAGGAACTTTGAAGAAATAAAACGGGATCAATTCCTCATTCACGATTCAATGCCTATACATAGACATTGCAAATGGGTAAGATGTCAGCCCTAAACTGTTAGAAGAGAATGGAATTTGTGGAATAGGAAAAGGAATTAACCAGGAAAAGAGGTTTAAAATGGAGTAAAAGATTGAGCTATATATATTTTCTCAACTAGACATGTACAGCACAAAATATGCATGTGCAAAATGGGTGTGTGTACGAAGAAGAGGCACGGTGGGTTAACAATAAAGAGACTAGGAAGTTTAAAGAGAGGGGCTAAAAGAAAGGAGGTAGTGAACAGAGGAGAGGTCTTTTGATTGGAGTTAAATTTGAATTTTAAAGGGGAATGGATAGGTATATATGAGTGCTGGTGGGAATGGTTTCACTCCATTAGCCTCACGCTACTGTGATCAATTCCGACGTCGTTTGTGGACTACAAACAAAAATCCAATATTTCAAGGACCCAAATAAACCAATTGCAGCATTGAAGGCCAAAATGAGACACAACGCATGCTTTGGGGACACATGATATAACTACCCAATAAAATATTGCTGTTATGTATATCTGTCAGTGTCTGGTTATGTAGCTTATATTACAGTAACCGACCCTTCATATAGATAAGCCACGGAATTTTAAAAAAAAAAAAAAAAACAAGGCACATTAACTTTTCTAATTTGAAAAAAAAGAATAATACTTTCACACCAATCAAATTAGGATATTCAACCACTCCTGCTGCACAATCTCCTGATTGAACTAGATGGCTAAAAAAATCAAACTACTTAAGGGGAGAATGAATGATATGGCTTCAGAAACACCACAGTCCATAGCATGTTTGTATCTTACCTCTTCTCTGGGATGAGGTCATCTCCGATTCCAGATACGTGAAGGTAATAATCAGAATCCAACTCCCATAGTGCAGGTTTTCCATCCTCTGGTTGGAAGTAACCCAAAAATCTGGTAAAACCACCAAATGAAGACAGAATGAGAGGCATGATTAAGGTGCAGTCTTAGCAAATTTGAAGCATCCTAGCTTTGCACCAAAAAAAAAAAAACATTCTTACTACTGAAGTGAGAAACTTGGATCAAGATCAACATGTTAAAACTTCATCCATCTCATACAACAGGGAGGGAAACCTAAGATGCTTATAGTTTTAAGTTTTTTTTTTCTTGGAAAAAAAGGCAATGTCGCATAAGGACTATATGATACAACAAGGGGATGAATAATTACAAATTTATTGCATCTTGTTTTTCTCCATCAGTATAAGCATTGCTGTAGTATCGCTTGATAGACTTCAAAAATTCCCTAGACTGGGTTGTAGCTTTCCACTTTCCCTGCCTCTCTGGGAACACCTGGGATTCATCATACAAGTCTGCTTGAATAATACACCAGAAGTTTACAAAGTCTATTTTACTAATCACAAAAAGCAGCTGCCACAATTTAAAAGAAAAAATTTGATTCAATAACCAATCTGACTTTGACAGTTGGTAAACATACAGTATTGTGAGCTGCAGAGCCACCATACTGCTGGGCAAGAGCATCACCCATACTCTGGTACATCTCCATCAGAGCTGCAGCAATGCTACTCTCAGCATCTAATTTGGGCTTATCTGTCAAACCCATTGCATGGAGTTGGCGACCTAAAGCTGCCAGTCCATAAGCATATTGAGCAACATTTGTACGATCCAAGCAGTCAATGCAATTAGTCCGCAGAACTCCACTTTGAAACCGCGGTGCTGCATTATCTTTCCTAACCAGTTGATTGCGATCGGACTTTCTCTCTTGTTTTGTTAAGGAATGTAAAGTATCATTACTACTTCCAATCCTCGAGAGATCCCCGGAATTAGCTCTCAGATCTCTAAGAGAAGCATCCCTGGAGAACCAGCAAAAAGCTATAAGAACAAAACTGTATTCACAGTTAAGTGTCAACCTCTACAAACCACATACTCTACCCAACATTGATCCTCAACTAGCTTAACTCAAGGTCTGTTTCAATAAGCTGACTAAATTTGAGGCCGCTAATTCAGGTAAACCTTAATAGCCATTTGTTCTTCCATGAAGGAATTCCCATGAGAAAGAGGCATTATTTTTAGTTGCTGATTCTTACATTTTTTCTTTTATTTTTCCTTCAAGAATTTACGGCCATCAATATTGCCTGTGCAAAAGTACTCAACATAAGGGACAGTAGAAGTCAGAAATTTGACAGTCAAACATAAATTATCGTTATGTAACACCACAAACAAGTATGAAAAGAACAGGTGCCAAATCTTTGAAAAAACTGATTATAATGATGAGTGTGGTGGTGATGGAAATGGTTGCGGTAATTATAGTTGTTGCTGTTGTAAGAGAAGTCAAAGAATATCATCAATGGGGAATCCTCTGATTTAAAATCTATGTCAAACCAGCAAAAAAGGCAACAAAGTAAGTAAAAGTGTCTTAAGGCAACAAGGTAAGTAAAAGAGTCTTTCTCTCCAACTGAAAGCCCTAAAATAGGCCATACATCATTCATCTACCTCAAAAAACGTAAGTAAATACAGAAAAAAGAAGGCATCAAGTTAATAAGACCGGAGTCACTCACATCAACTCTTGAATATTCCACACAATTATTTATACAACAGTAATACTCATCATCATAGCAGTGGTAGCAATAGTACAACATGTTGAGGAATTTCATCAAGGTGGAACCCTCTATTTAAAATGTATGTGCTCAACCCTTGAACACTCCAACCACCATTCTTTTCAAAGTAAATAAAAGAAGGCAAAAGGGACAATCTCCAACAGGTAGAAACAGGAACGAAAGAGAACTAAAGGTCTCTAAAATAATGAAAAAGAATGGGAAAAAATGTTAGGAGGAAGAGAGAACAAGAAGAAGAAAAACTGCATTAAAGAAGAAGAAGAAAAAATTGGTTTTACTAGCTCTATGGCTCTCAATGGAGACCCAGGTTATTTTCTGACAAAATTAACCCAGGGTATCAAGAACCCCAGGGCATCACTAGAAGGTTGAAACACAGCAATGCAATATTCACAAAAGAGATCAATAGACAAAACAGGAGGCAAAGCATCAGATCCACTACTTGACTAATCCCATTGAGCTGTACGACATGGAATAATGCATTAGACATATTCTAATTATTAGGGTCAATCTGCATCAGAATAAATATAATTTCTTAATCTACTAGGTATGGAAATCTTTTGGTAACAAATAGGTTCAGATAAATAGAAATCCAATAGCCTTGATCCAAATAATATCAATATGATATAAAACCTCAGTAGTTCACAAAACCTGAAACTAAACCTCTTTAGCAAATAAGTTAATATTAATTCCTACAATGCCATGCATCAATTATAGAAATAAAATGATATCAAACCCAATACTTCAAAAAAGCTGCAACCAAGCCACTTGGACAAATAAGCTGATATTCAATCCTACAATGAACATGCATCGATTATAGAAAGAGAGATACCTGCCAGTGCTCGTTCGACTAAGTTGGGCAGCTCGTCTTTTAACAACATTTGGCTTTCCACTATAATAAAAACCTGTCAAATCAAGTGCCTCGCTTGCCACACCACCTAAAACTGCCAAAACATTGGCAGACTTGCTTGAAACCAGCAGAGAAACAAAACATTTAGCAAAAGCAAAGGAGGAGCACATTGCACAACGAGTGTTACATGCATACATACCTCTTTGCAAACTTGTGAAAGTCCCAATGAATAAATTTGAGATGATTTTCTTCTGAGAGAATCTGGTTTAGATACCCGACTGCATTAGCAAACTCTCGCCTTAGCATCATTTCTCGTGGCCTTTTCTCGAAGGTCTGTCATGTAACAACAAAAGGTCAGCAAAAGGTATCACATATTGAACTGTCTCTAGAGAGAACCTAAATATCCCAATAAGGCAATAACAAGACAGGTGATGTTCAAATTGCCCTCTCATCATTCAAGATCATCATATCATCACATAAGAAATAGGAATCGCTGAAAGCCTCGCACTGATTTACGAACGTCAATTATTTTAATACCAAAAGAAAAATAGCTTGAAAGCAGCAGATAATTAGTTACCTTACTTTAGTCCATAAAAGTAGTTGAACTCAGAGAAAAACATGAGTTCATAATATGGAAGTTGATATAATTAGCAACAATAACAAAGAGGATGCAACAACAAATTCATGCATTAGATTGAAAGTTATAGCTGGTGCTAATAGATGGCAAATAAGAGAAACCAAGCTCATAAATACTTTCATCTGGTGCAAGGGAGACCCCAAAAATTGCACCATAGAGGAATGATAGATGAAATTTGTAGGTGTCAAAAAAAATGAGAGAAGCGTGAGGAAGGCAAAAGACCAAAGCAAATATGGCCTCAGACAGAGCTAAGCAGAATAGCACACAACAAATTAAATGTAAGTAATAAAAGAGACATATATGAACCGCAACATCTCTCTAATAGGATGTCGTGACAATAATTCAACTACAGAAAAAGTACATTACATGTATCATAAAGTTAGTTATGAGCAAACATCATGTCCCTTTCTATTGTCGTACAGCGTGCACCACAGCATAATCACTCACAAACATGTGACATGGATTCAGGTATGCATGATGAGTCAGGATACTTGACTAGTTGTAAAATCCGAATCTGAGTATACTTGGACTACCTCCCTTGTTCTGTTTCACACACACTAGGGTGAAGTAAAATGTAGGCATAACCTCCACTGCACGAAAATGTAGCTTATTAAAAATATCTATAGTTTATTCAATTATGTAGGAATTTTCAAGGGAATTAAAAAAATATCTTTATGTCCTTTTTTCAAGCAAACCCATTGGGAATTATTAAACAAAAGGCATAGCCAATACTAAAAGAGCTTGATGTTGCGGACAAAGAAGTTTGTGCTTCTGTTGAATTATATAGTTTTGTTTTGGGATGGAATTCTCTTATGCTATGTAAAGTTGATCATTATGGTTCTTATTCGACTCCAGGTATTTGATAGACTAAATGGTGTCTCTGTGACATTACTTGGAAATAATGCAGCACAAGCAAATGCTTAATTGATTCATTTTTTGCACAGAGGATTTGAGCCTCTACAACCAACAGCTCCACAATAAGAACATCTCCACAATAAGAACATCTCCACTTGAGCCGATTGCCACGACTACTATGACCTCCACGACAAGTACCTCTACCACCATGATAACAACATGAGGATAAATGGTGACCACCACAAGTATTTTCACTATAGAGTAAAGCAGATGACTCCTGTGAGGATGAGAAAGTTCACGGGTCGAAGAGGGTTTCTAAAGACAGGAATAAGCATTGGCCGGTAAGAGGTTCTCGCTAACCAAAATCAGATCTTTTAATACACTATATTCATAATTAAGACTGAACAAGAATAGAGCAACCTCAAACTCTTCACATTGTCATTCCTGTACTTGATAAAGTAAAAGTTCCTTCCATAACCCTTCCAAAGTGCCATAGTGCTCAGTTAGAGATTTATTTGTCTTGCTTGGTATTAAACATCCACTCAAAAAGTTCATATATTCGAAACACGTTATGCTCTTGTGAATACATCTCCTCAAGAGGGACTTATATTTTCTTAACAATATCAAGAAGCTGAACATTAAAGGCAACAGACAGCTCCTTACTAAGCCACAACCATGCCATCACCAAAGAATTCTCACTCAACCAATCTTCAGAATCTTTGCACTTTTCAAGGGGAGGACTCTTAATCAAGTATTTGACCTTTCGTTTAGCACGCAAAAATACTTTAATGGCATGAGATCAAGAATAATAATTGGTGCCATTCAACTTTACCGAGGTAATCTATTGAACACGATCATCTACGGAATAGACCTGACAAGGCTGATCATCACCCAACGAAGCCTTTATCTCTTCTGATGTCGACATAATTAAAAAAAACACAATTAAATAGTGTCACTCACCGGACCAAATGCTCAAGGCTGAAATCAACACAACAAAACCAAATCTGCTCCCAAAGAAATTAGAATTCCAAAATCACACAACCTATAGGTCCAACTAATGGATGAATTCACACCACATGGCCTCAACACAACAAGGAGACCAGAAAACGAACCAAAGAAGTCACCTGGTAGAAGTCCCAATCATTGAACAACGGTATTGACACTGGCCGACACCTTTAGGAACAAAGAAGGCAGACCCAACACATCAAAGGCTTGAAAACCAACCCAAGATTCTTAATAGAGGCAAAAAACCACCCTTGTGCAGCTGTCGGTCATTGTTCAGATGCCAAAAACCACCCTTGTGCAGTCGTCGGTCACTGTTCAGATGCCGGAACAGTGACCGAAAGCCAAAAACAGCACAAAATCACGCCAAACATCACCAAGGGGGACTGGACATCACACAAAAGTCCACCCAAGCCCTAGTTGCAACCCTTAGAAGCAGATCAAAGCAACAAATCACAAGAAAATGCCCCAAATCAGTAGATCAAAGAAAATACTCCTATTTTTCTGAAAAAATTCAAAATTAGCAAACTCCCTCCAAAACGACTTCAAAAAAATTCAAAAAATACCGTAATTACCCCTTCAAAAAATCAAGTTTGAAGGTAGGTTCCAGTCGTCAAAAATTGCTGACGTCAACAACCATAATTACCCCCTCAAAAGATCGAGTTTGGGGGTGGGTTATCATTGTCAGAAACTACTGGCGTTAGCGACCAGCGATGATGAAAGTTCTTTCAAAAGTCTTCTCATGTATTTTGATGATATTTTGGTCTTGAATCGTTTCTCCAACACCAAGTTAAATGGGTGAATTTGATATTAGGGTTTATGAGAAAAGAAGAAAAAGTGAGAAAGAGAAAAGAAAATGAGGAAAACAATAAGAATAATCTGGTGTTTAGGTTAAGTTACTGTTGTATACTCTCTTATTTATAACCGGGTAATAAATAAAGCTATTATAATATTACCGTACACTAATTAACATATGTCTAATATAGAAAAATAAGAACTCTAACACAAACAAATGTCTATGAAACTATATTGAGTACCAATGGTTTTAAAGATGGACAAATTTTAACCCATAAAAGGCACCGGTTTGCAGTTCCTTGGGCCAATCATCCCGGTTGAGAAGAAAGAAAGGAACAAATAATAGAAAGGGTGAAACATTTTACAAACCATATCTTGATTCACACATGCCACCAATCTTGGCCTTGATTTAGTACAAAAAATAACCCCCCCAATAACAACAAAAAAAAAAAAAAAAAGAAGCATCATCACCTTTATGAGTACATGAAATTGGCATTGGGCAGATTTAAGAGTCTATGGAATAGATAAACCATAGCCACTCCTTGATGAGTACATGAAATGCCAGAACTACAAATTGGGTTAAGTGGCACAACAAGACAGTTTCTTGAATGCTTGATCTGTTCAAGTGGATTACCCATTAAAACTTCCATTTGAAGAACTTGACTAAAATAAACAGAATTTTGGCAAGGAATGGTTTTACGAGCTCATTCCGGCCACAATGAATCACTCAATGGTATAGACAATTCAAACCGCCGCATCCAGTATGGGATTTAAATCAATGTTACACATCCTAAACTCTTTCATTATCCACAACATAGGAGCCCTAGACAACAATTTATAGGGCTTTTCACACTTTGCACCCCAAAAAATATATTTATCCCATGGTGCACTCCGAAAGATTATTTTTCTCACATTGCACCATGAATGTCATAAATAGGTTCCAATGTGACCCTCGGACTAACATCTGTTTCAGATTCTATTAAAAATTAATGTACATGCTACCCAAAAATATGAATTGTGAGTTTACATTTTTGTCCAAGAGCAACACGTGAATGGCAAATGCATCAATTGTTAACGGAATTTGAATCAGATGTTAGTCTGAGTGCTACATTGAAACTAATTTATGAAATTCAGGGTGCAATGTGAGAAAAATAATCTTTTCAGAGTATGAGTATAAAGTGAGAATCGAGACATCTTTCGGGGTGCAAAGTGAAAAAAAGCCCCAATTTATATTAGCTATTTGATAAATTAATTTTTCCAGAATCTATTCCTAGGACAAAACAATCTAAACCTGTTGACTATGAAAACTAAGTTGGACATTTCAATGACATCAAGCACAGCATATCTATATTATTATAAACGAGTGAAAAAATTTTGATTTCCCATTTTTTCCATAATTATTATAATAAAGTCAATTATATCTATTTACTTTAATTTAATTTTTGTTTTCTATACTTGTTTGACTTCTAAGTTCTTTTGAATTCTTTTATAGTAGTTTCTGATTTCTAATTCTTTTGGAATTACTTACAAGTAGTGCACTTACATCCAGATTCTATATCTATCAATATGATAGAATGGAATTGTAACTTGTAGTTGTTATCTCGATAATTCACATTGGGATTGACAGACAAAATACTCACAAACAGATACCAATACACATTTAATTTTGTAGTATTTAAGGCATAAACATGCAACCACAGAAAATTAGCAAGAATGCAACACAGCTCACCAGATATCCCGCAGTCAAAAAATTACAAGAATACATGTGATGGTATGGCAGTATGTTGCAATATACCATAAATTAGATATCATGTGGACTTGCTTAGATCAAGTTATACATCAAAGAAAAGTATGAGCAGCTTGACAGGGTCCAATATGAATATTAATCAGTTCTAACACTAAGAATGCCCATGCAAACAAAACAAAATCCACTAACCAAGACTAAAAAGGGCGTATATGTAATCCCTAGGCTAGCATTAAAGATAAAATTTTGAGAACAAACCTTTATGAGATTAAGCACAATTATTGGATCGCCATATCTCTTCGCCAGGTCTTCAAAATGCAGTTTAGTTGCCTCATAAGTAGGATCATATCTTTGCACTGAAACCAGAAAGGAAACAAGCATCAAAGTTCGTTCAAAAGCAGATCGACATAGAATGACAAGCATAAAAAAGCAACATAAATATACTTATCAACAAAATAATCAAGTAAAATAGTTGATTATTCTCACAGATTATATCAGGTTTAGGACTGAATCTCGAAGCTTCTTGTGACCAGAAAAGTGGGATTGAACCCCTCATTTGTACTACGGAACTCATTTTCCCCTTGCATGACCCAGCCTCTTCATCAAGAACAATTTGTTCTGTTTCAACATCATTTGCAACCCTTCCCCGATCATTAACTCCCCTTTTCAAATAACTGCATCCAAAGAAACCAACAAAATGGTGAAGCCATTGACATCATCACGCTATTCGCCCCGCGATATGGAAACAAGTTTTATGCTATAATAATAAGAATAAAAGCCACAGTAGTCAAGATATTCCTTGGTCCAAGCTACTGAAAAAAAAAGAAAAAAAAAAGGAAAAACACTAATGAATCTTGTGCAGGCCATTCACGTAATTTTGCACTTCTCTATGTGATGCTCGTTTTTTCTTGTGTTAACTGTAAAAGTGTATTTCAAATGCGCCCTAACTACCAACTTCCCTTACCAATTGGGATAGTTTTTCCTTGGCGTAACCTTCTGCTGTGTTACCAAAACCCCTCTCTCTCTACTCTCTTTATGTCAATATATTCCGTAAGCCTAGGGCACATGGTATCAAGCCAGTTGCACATGAAGCTAGGCAGACAACTGAGGTGTAAGAATCACTTGTATATGAGAGTCATTGAAGCATTTAGCTTCCATAAAATACCAAACTGTGTTACTTCTAAGCACCAAAAGGAAAAAACACAGACAAACAGATAAAACAAACTTTGTTCCAAAATGTCATGTTGGCGAAACAAGCACTCATCACTTAGTGTACCCATTACATCCCCTAACAAATTTAATATACATATAACCAATACTGTGGACATTAACAAAAAAGCAGACAAGGAAGATAACTATAGACTGTTTAGTAACATGCCATTGCTTGAACAGAGAGATATTATAACAAGAAAAATTTTGCACATCTGTTGTGCTTTGTTCGTTGTCACTTTTAAAAATAGGTCCAAGCCCAAAAACGCGAAATATGTTAAATAACTGAAACCCATCGAAAATATAACATCCTTTCCAGTAAAAATATAGTATAAATATCCCTAATAATTTAATGACAATGGATGGCCACAAATTAGTAAAATTGCACAAAGCAGCCCCACTCCAGCTCCACCAAAGCTAAAACGTAAAATTTGAGAAATAATGATGCATAATGCAATATCTTGGAACCAAAAAATTTGAAACCAAAAGGATCAAAAAAAATTTGAAAGAATGGAGAGAGAATGAAAAAGTAAAAGCTTATTTGGATCGCCCAAATTTCATTAAAATACAATTAGAAAATCCGATTTTTAGAATAAAGAGTAGATTTATGAAAAATACAAAATCCCAGGAGAGAGAGAGAGAGAGAGATGCTAACCTGGGTTGTTGTTCTTCCTCCTTTGGTCCTTCCCTGAAGTTAGCACATATGAAGGAAAACAAAAGCAAAAGGAAAATGGGACATAATGAAAAAGGAGAATAGCCTTTATCAAAACAAATCATTGTCTATAGATGCAAATAAACACAAATAGAATTATATATTTATGCGTCCACAAACAGAGTAATAATGGACAACATGAGTTCATGGGCACATAGAGGCAACCATGCAAGCAGTTGCATTTTATGTATGCATATTTGGGAAAAAAAAGATGGACGGCATGTTTAAAAGGAACGCCTAGACACACCCATGCAAGCAAAACCGTGTTATAAATTTAAACCACATATGATTACAGAAATAAGTTAGTTGGGTAAAAATATCATATTCCGACATCTATAGTTTACATGCATAGTGCAGATAAAGGTTAAAAAGGGTGAAATCTACACGAGGATTATCCCATTTTTCCATCTATACTTGTTGATACAAAAGCCCCCTCACCAGAAAAAAGACATGCACAAATCAAAAGGTGAAGGGAAAAAGTACAAGAAGTCAAAAATAGCTCTATCAAGCTGAGGGGGCTAACCACTAAAATTATTCTCCCACAAGATCCCTATTGCCAAGTCCTAACTATTCTCATAGTTTTATCTATCAATCCCTAAAAAAAATCTTACAGAAACATTTCAGAAAATCGCAGCTACACTAAAACTGATCTACAATGTTGGGCCACTCTCCCTGGAAAAATAAAAACTGCCTCGAACTCTACCCATTCTATTTCTCGTTGATCTTGAAAGGGTTGTCATAGCCCATCATCTAGACTAACATGACAAAGTAAGTATCACAGTGTTGCGTAAAATAACTATAACAGTGGCAGCATAACAGTAAGGGGAGTTTGGGTAAATTTTTAAAGCAAATCAGGTGACCTGGTCATAAATTTTTTTGAATCCTTAGCAAACCCACTAAATCTCAATGAATGCATGTTCGGACTCTTTTTTTTTTTGAAAAGAAACAAAACTCTTCATTGATAAGTAAAAATATAAAATGCGAGCAAGTTGAACAAGTAGTCCAACCCTCGTACATGCGTAAAAGGAACAAAAAACAAAATCAAAACAGCCATCAAGAGATAAAAGATTATCTCCCACTAGAGGTCATCCAAGTTGAGATAATACAAAAGAGAGGGACACTTTCAAACTCCTTTGTTACAGAAGCCTAAAAAGATGCAAGGAAATAAATTCGATCTCTCACAATTCCAAAGAACAACACCCCTTTCACAATCACCCAAGCCTTGAAATTCGGTCGAAAACATGGAGGAAACTGATCACGGGGCAACCCAAGACCCCACCATCTCAAATAACTTGTTCCAAAGGAGAAATGCAATAGATCAATGTTAAAAAAAATGATCTAAACTCTCCCAACTTGCTCTACACATAATACACCATTGTGGGAATAAATAAGTGTAAGATATCCTTTTGTAACACATCATAGGTATTAATCTTACCATGGGCAATCATCAATGCACAAACTTTCACTTTTAGAGGAACTTTACTAATATGTTATCTGTTATTTCTAGACTAAGGGTTGTTTTTGAACTTTGTGATTACATATAAAAACAAGGTGTTCTTTCTGTCTTTCTTCAAACCCTAATTTCTTCATAATCTCACTTGGTCTAAGCCAACGATCGAATCTAAAGTCCCAAATTTGTTGAAACTCATTGGAAATCTTCCACAATACACCAAAATAGTCCCTATCAGAATCTAACGCGCTAACGTCAACATCTGACATGCTGGCGTCAGCGACGAACATGTCAAAAAATTTCGAGACAACCATTAACAAACTCAATTTTTTGTTCTTAATATAATGGTGATTTTTTGGGAATTTTTTGGAGCCATCTAACAAGTTTATTGAATTTTCAAATGTATTTTGGTTTTACAATTCACAGTCACAATTTGATATTTCAGACCAATTTTTGTGTTGCTTTCTAGCAAATCCTCCTCGACTAGGGTAGATCTAAGATACACATAGTGTTTTGGTGCATTTGGATTGAATTTGGTGGGTTTTTGCTTAGATCTGTGTGCTTACTTTTTTTTTCTCTTTGCTGCACTGGTTTGGCCTTATGCTCTAATGTCTTGTGATTTTTATGGCCTTTGAAGCTGCTTGGGTAAAGCTAGATGATCGCATAGAAACTAGGTGATTGCACAGTACCTTTTTTTTGCTACCACCAGTTGGTTTTTTGCGTCTCAGTGAATTTTTTGGCTCTTAATTGTCTCTCAGGGGCTATTTTCTCTCCTAGTATCTCTGGGTATTGTTCTGGTTATATTCCATCATTATAGGAGTATTTTTATAATTGTAGTTCAATTTTTTAGGAGTGATTTCTTGAAATTTTTAGAACCTTTTTTGGTGATAGTGTTTTTTTGCCAATCCTACTCTATGAGGTGCGATTGGAGGTTGAGGAATATTACTTGGGGGTTGTATTTGCTTACTGGGTTTTTGTATTTTTGGCGATAATCAAAAGTGTTGACTGTTATGCTTGTTTTGTAACTTGCCACTATAATTCTTTGATCCTATTGTGTGGACATGTCAGAAGAAAGTGTAACTTCTAGTGATTTCACTCAAGATGAGATAAAGACTCTTTAAACATCTGATCGCTTGAATTGATGTTTCCTCTGCTATATCTTCTAATCCTACCTCTTCTTCTGACTTTGCTTATACAAGCATATCTGTTAGTGTGTTTACTACGACATCCACATATACTCTTTAAATGATAGATTCTGGAGCTATGAATCATATGATATGTTCTTCTAGTCTTTTCTCTTTGTATACTACTTGTTCTAGTAGGGATAAAGTTAAGGTGACAGATGAATCTTTATCCTCTATTTATGGAAAAGGTTCAATTAATTATTCTCCCTCTCTATCTCTCTCCTCCATTCTTCACGTTCCCAATTTCTCCCTAATTTATTGTTTGTTAGTAATATTACCAAATCTTTAATTGTTCGGTGACTTTTTTACCTACTCATTGCATCTTTCAAAATCTAGAATTTGGAAAAATGATTGACAATGGTAAAAAACATAATGGTGTGTACCTTTTTTGAAGTTGAAGCTTCTTCTCAGTCTATCTCAAGCTCTCCAAATAGCTGGTGTTTTAGCCCTTTAGCTCTTATATCAACAACATAGACATTTAGGACATCCCTCTCATTTGGTGTTTTAGAGCATCTTTTTGCTAGCCTGGTGAAGCAGTGTAGTAGACAATATTTTGTTTGTGATTCTTGTGAATTTATCAAGCATAAACGTCCATCATATCCTACTACTAACATAGAAGCACTGCACCTTTTGTCATTAATCATTTAGATGTGTGGGACCCATCTCGTGTTGTGTCTACTTCTAGTTATCGTTGGTTTGTTACCTTTATTGATTGTTATTCTCGTCTTACTTGGATTTACCTACTACACCATAAAAGTAAAGTTTTCTCTTGCTTCAGATTTTTTCATAAAATGGTGAGTACTCAAATTGATGCGAAAGTCAAAATTCTTCGAACTGAGTATGTTGATGAAAAAATTTGTTCTTATCTCAATGAAAATGGCATCGTGCATCAAACTACTTGTGTAAGTACCCCAGAACAAAATGGTGTTACTGAGCGAAAAAATTATCATCTTCTTAAGGTTGCTCGCTCATTGATGTTTACTATGAATGTCCCTCAATTGTCCTTATTGTTGGGGGATGCAGTTCTTACTACTGCCTATCTTATTAATCGTCTATTCTCGAGTGTCCTTCAATTTAAGTCTCTAATCGTGTCTTTTTGAGTCTTTTTCAATTCCTTCTATTTCTTCTATTCCTTCCCAAAGTTTTTGGGTGTGTTTGTTTTGTATGTGATTACAAACCCTCTTGCGGAAAACTTGACAACAATGTATTTTTGTTAGTTACTCTGCCACGCAAAAGGAATATAAATGTTATCATCCAAAGTCACAAAATATGTTAGCATAGATATTACCTTTCGTGAATTTGAGTCATTTTTCTCTACTACCCAGACATCTCTTCAGGGAGAGAATACCACTATAGGAAAAGAGATGTTTTATCAAGAACCTATTCACCTTTCACAAGGATAATCTGAATACTTTTGATGTCAAAAAGTACAAATTACCGATGTGTCACTGCATCAGTCCAATTCTTTAACTCCAGTTCTATCCTCCACTGATTTATCAGGTAATGAACCTCCAGATATTACACCAGTTATTGATAATCCAGTTGTAGATGACTTTGATCTTCTTATTGCGGTCAGAAAAGGTGTTTGAGCTTGTACTCAGCATCCTATCTCTAATTTTGCCTCTTATGCTATATTGTCTTCATCCCATTGTATTCACAAACCCCTTCTCTTTTTTTAACACTCTTTTTCTCTCCCTTACTCTTCCATTTTCTCCTAGTGGGTACTAATGACAAATCCACATTTTTTAAAAAGTTTTTGAAAATTACCCATTTTTCCTCATCAGACAAAACACCCATATCCTCACCCTTGGAATTCCCCGCCCACCCCCCAACCCTAGACTCATTTCACTCTCATCTCCCTCATAGCATACAATATCCTTATCGGCCAAACAATTTAAATACCCTGGAACAAAATTAGTCATGGCCTTTTCGATATTAAAACACAAGGGAAACTCACTGGAAACCAATTTCGATTCAACCTTTAGAATTAACACTGGACATTCCCTAAATCTGAAGGCCAAACACTTTTCAAGAGATAACCCATCCTCCCTCGTAGGCCCAAGATCAGTAGACAGAAAATGGTTTTCCTTCCCTAAACAGATGGAGGGATTACCAAATATAACAGGAAAATCCTCATCACCACTTAACTAGAATACCCACTCCCATCCACCTTCAAATTACGACCCACCCTAGACTCGGTATCCTCCCCAAACTCACAGAACACAGATCCTCCTCAAAATTACCTAGCACTAAAGACACTTCAGAATTCTTGTATAACCCCCCTCCCCATCAAAAAAAAAGAAAGTACAAAGGGGTGCATGAGAAACTGATGCAAAAGACTTACTTACCTAACAACATTCACATACTCCACATTTATTGTCAACTTCATCAACAAGATTAATACTCCTTTCAATGTTTGCATCAAACAAATCGCCGATAACATAGATTGCCTCATCCGTAATGAATTTTGTATCCTTTCCCACATCGCAGCAATCAGATGCTCCATCACCACAATTGGTAGAAACATCATTGCCTTCTAAGTACAATCCTATGTCGTTCACATCAAAAAAACCTTCCTCCACTTCCTGTATCAAATTTTCCTAGTTATCTTCTACCCCAACTCCCTTGTTAACTTCAAAATCTTTGTAGTCTCGATTAGCACTCACACCGACTAAGATGTCATCGGAAATCTTCATATCATTGGTAATTTCATCAGCTGTAGATCATTCTCACTCCTAAATACCCCGCTTTCTTCTTCGTCATTGCCTTCAAACTTGTCGTCGATCTCAACTTCTTGAGAAATAGAGAGAACAGCCCTATGTGTTGAGTTAGGCTTAGGAACCAAAACATTTAAGTACTGGGTTTCGGCTATTATTTTCTTAAAATAATCAGGCCTTTTAGAGACAAAAAGGCCCACTTTTGAAGGACCAACTTCCTTGATGGACATCTTTTTAAACCCATAAAACCCAACATCCCCCTGATGGGCCTTGTCTTTATAGCCCATTTTATCATCTCCCTTCTGTCTCTATTGATCAATCTGACTCTCCAACCCATTAACAGAGCCCACTTCAACACTAACCTTATTTTTAAAATTCAAATCCTGATCAGGTCTCCCACAATCATGGGATTTGAAACAACTAACCACGTTAATTTCATGATTAATGGTCGTAATTCCCAATTCCTTACCTGTCTCCATCTTTTTTTCAGTACCCACAATAGCACAATGGCTCCCTACCCCCTTCTATCTCCATCTACCACATACATCCCTATAAACCCATAGGATCCGGCCAGTTTTTATCCAACTCATGTGAATCGGGCGGTTCTATTAAACCCCAGGTGGGTTACCTACCTTATACAAAAACCTATAACTGCACTAAAAAATCTCTATCATTGGCATACACTCCTTGTCACAGTACCTCCGTCTCTCATTGTTTCTCAACATGATTTCCCTTTGTCTCTCTCACAGTTGCAACAAGGGCCTTGTGGTCCGTCCTCCATTCAGTGCTCCTACTTTTAATTTGTTCCTCTGATAGAAAAGTTTCAATACTACCTTCATTAGACTTTCTTTTAAAGCCAGTATGATTTGTTTTCTTTGGCTAGATCTGCATTTGTAGTTGTTCATTTCAACAATTTTGAGCTTTTTGGTGAAAAATTTTACCTTATGTGTAGCTACGATCTTGATCGATCCAATGATCTGTATTCTTTACATCAAAATGATTCTCTCTTGCTATGGTCAATACAATCAGTGGCTTTTTTTGTTCTGCTTCGTAGTTTTGCTAAGTGTTCAGCTACGGAGTTGATTGCTATCTTCCTACCATTGGTTATGACCTAAAGGCTTACGGCTTGAGGGAGGACTTTATGTTTCTTATTGATAATTAATTAGGTACTGTGTTTTCTTGATCCATTATTAAGAACACAGTATTAGATTTGATATTGTGTTCTAAATGCTATTGCATTCATTTTTAAAAGTATTTTTTTCATAATTTCCCCTTCCTTGTAAAAAGCTTCATTTTTCTATCAATAGAATGTTGCTAGCTACCATATAAAATTATTCTCTCTGATATGTTCTTTTTGGATTTTCTACATCCCCCACGTTTGGGACTTTCTTTTAGGACACTATCACAAAGGAAAATTTTGAAAAATCAAGACCAAGTGACCTCAACAAAACATTACTCAAAAGAAAATATTACTACCCAAAATGAGAAATCAGTGGTTTTGTAAATTATTATTAGTTATAATTACTTTTTGTTTTTAATCGTATGACCAGTCCGACCAGTTGACCCATTGTTTGAACGAGTGACCCATTGACCTAGTCCCTTTGTTGGGTTGATGTTCAGGTCGGGTTTATAACTATGATAAAAGCAACTTCAACGGCTGGTTGCACAAGTTTTAGCTGGCAACTTCAAGTCACTGGCAGGTTGGGCCCATTGCACCAAGCACTTTACATAGTGTCCAATGATATATTTTGTGCTTCCAAAAATGATTACACTTGTCACTTATCAACGATTGTGATGGTCTAGTTGCAGAATGAGGATGTGAGGGTTTCTTTTCAAAAATGACAATAGTTCAAAATGAGCTTGATTGACTCTTCATAGGGATATTTTGAAGGGCATTTGGGGCATCATTCTTCACCAAGGCCCACTTCCTTCAACTGATGTTGTAATGGATGAGTTATTGACAGAAATTTCTTTTAAAGCATCCTTATGCAAGGAGCCACTCCTTTTACCACGTTATATAGTTGTGGCAGTTCCTCCTAAGCCTCAAATTAGCATACAAAACAAGTAACACACTTGAATGTACATATGATTGAAATTTTTCTTGTCAGAAAGGTCACTGAAAGGCACAATGCCCTAAAGTTTTAAGTAGACAAAACTCTGTATAGCAGCAATCTTGGTAAGAGAGCAGGGATACTCAAGCTGCATATTACACCATCTGTGTATTAATCCTAATTGGATTCTTATCTTGCTTCACTTGAGTGTTTGATTCAAGTATTACACATTATATGAATAATTATCTCTCTCTGTTTAATTTTAGTTCATCACCCTCTTCTTGTACACTATTATGGTTGCCAATAGCACTCCCCTCAGTGATAGGCATCGGATCTATCACAACTTGCTTTTGTCATTCTTATGTTTAATGTATCCCTCCATTATTGTTGTATTTGATTTCTAATAGATAAGTTTGTCATCTTGGATAGATTGTCTATTGGTTGTACTTCTGCAAGATCCTTATTTGAAGAAGTTGACTGGGATAAGCCATTATTGAATGTGATGGAGAACCTATAAGTTCCAATTATAGTTGTTTCTAATGTTGATTTGTCACCTATTTGTTTGAATCCCAAGTCTGTTGTGATTTATATATGGTATGCTCGTCATCTATGAAGCACTGACATGCCATTTGTCTTTACGTGTTCGTGTCAGACACGTCTAGGACACAAACACGTAAAAGTCAATGTCCAAATTTTTATTTATTTTTTTGAATATAAGACACATCCTAGATACATTGGGTCACATCCGGATACGTTTTCAAAGTAACTTACACATGTTTGTTAGTTTACTGATGGGGCCAATGAAGGCATAGAACAATTGACAGCAACAATAACGAAGCCGATGGAAAAGATTAAGTCCAAGCCATTGAGCCTCGGCAATTTGGCCAGACATGATGTACAGAGAGGATCAGTTGCCATATTTGTAGACGAGAGAGATGCAGAAGATGTTTTTATAGAGAGATTTGTGCGTGTGTAAGAGAGAGAAGATGAACTTCACTTGACCAACTGATATTTCCCCTTTTTGTGTTGCTTGAACTAAATCCTTGCTACATGGCATTCCATGATTGCTTCTCCTAGATTTCTCCTTATCTACTTACCCACTTAAGAAGATCAAATGGGCCCGCGGTTAACAGAAAACATACAACTTCTTCATTCCGGGTGTCAACTTAAAAAAGGATCTGGGTTATGGGCCATTGTTTGGTCCAATTGAATTGATGGGTGAATTAAAATTGGGCCATAATTTGGCTGCAATCATAAATATTTGATGCCAAATTTATTCATTTACTTGGGCTAAAATATATATAAGGTTGAATTTGCAAACCAAGGCCATATAAAAATATGCATTGGGTCAAATTTATGAACTAATAGTCATATATAATTATATACATGTATCTATTCAACATGTCTCCAACGTATCCGTATTCTACTTTTTTAAAAAATATCTTCTTCATGCTATCAAGCAAATCCCCTCGTGTAAAAATATTGAAGAATTTGTGTACCGTGAAAAGGAAGTTGAATGTGCACAGGAAGGCATTCTTCAACCAGCAATTGAGCTCCATCTTGAACACAAACACCCTACCCAACTTCAAGGATACCGGCAGCCCCACCATTGCTATAACCATTGGGAATTGCCGTGTGAAACACGCATAGCTAGACTTGGGGGCAAGTGTCAACCTCATACCCTTCTCGGAGTATTAACAACTACAGCTTAAGGAGTTGAAGCCAACCCCTATCACTCTTCAACTAGCGGATTGAAGCGTGAGAACACCGAGGGGAGTAATTGAGGGTGTTTTGGTCTAAGTGAACAAATTTTATTTCCCTGTTCATTTTATTGTGCTTGATACTCACCACATTGCTAATCTTAATTCACATATTCCTGACATATTAGGTAGGCCTTTCCTTCCTACTTCTTACGATGTGATAAATTGCAGGATTAGTCTAATGAAGCTTGCATTTGGAAACATGACAATGGATCTCAATGTGTTCAACCTTTGAAAACAACCGTGGGATGACGAGGAGGTTCATGAAGTCAATAGGATTGACACATTGGTGGAGTATCACATGGATTTTTTGTGTAATACCATGTTGGAGGAGGACGAGTTTATTGATGATGTGGAGCCAGAAAGTGTAGAAGGAGTGGGGCGTTGGACCCCAACATTTGAAAAACTACCACCACAAGAAAAGAAGACTTTTCCATCAACAGTGTTGTGTGCTTGTATCATGTTGTATTCGTGTCCGTGTCCATGCCTTAGCTCATCATAGAGATAATTCTAGTAATTAATTGAAATTTTTATTTTCTATTAATTCATTATGAAATTAAGTGACATCTCTGATTGTAATAGATGCACAGACTTGTCACAATCAGGGCTTTCCCATTTAATAACCGTTCCACTTCTTCCTCTACATCTTTTGAACTTGTATATTTTAATGTATGGGGTCATGTTCCGATTGCATGTTAAGATGGTCCCAATCTTGTGTCTTTCAGGGCTAATTATACTTAATATTATCTGATTTATCTCATGAACCAACGATCTGAATTTTTTATCCATATTTACTTATTTTCGTGTCATGATTCACACCTAATAGATTTCAGTTACAAAATATTTTTGGTATGATTTGGGTAAGCAATACTAATATAATGATTTTCTTAACATACTGAAATTGTATGAAACTGTTAAACAATCTCCTTGTGCAAACACTCTTGAGTAAAATGGTGAGGTTCAGCGAAAACAAAAACAAATGATAGAAGTTGCTTGCCCTTGGTTGTATTTCATTTGTTCTCAATTATGTTTGGGAGAGGTAGTTATCACAATTGTTCACCTCACTAACTGGCTTTCTTCTATTATTACTTCGAATATTGTTTGCCTTTTGAACAGTTGTGTGGAAAACTTAATTACTTATTTGTTAAGTCGGTACGATAGCACTTGATTTATTCTTCTTCCTAAAACTGAACGTGTATTTATTTTCATGGATTTTGGTGACAATTTAAATGGGTATCATTGTTATGATCGTGCTGCAAAGATTGTAGGTAAAGATTGTATACAAATAGGCATGTCGTCGTTTTATTTCTTTCTTTTCCCATTTCCTCTGCTCATGACACTATCATTGAATTTGACCTTATTAGTATGAACTATTTCTCTGATGATATTTCTGGTGATTCTCATGTTCATAACATGCTCCCTCCTGGCATTCAATCTTTCGTCCCAAACTCCCTCTTCTATGGTAATGCCCCTTAT